GGACTTAGATATTGATTTTGACTTAGACTGTTTTCCCACAGATCCGAATAATCTCTACAACGTAAATTGCTGGTGTGTAAATAATATAAATGTATGTATTTTTTGTGAACATTTTTTTTTTTCAATGTGAAAGTGCTATGGGAATTAATGACAACACAACTCATTTTGCAATTTTATTTCCCTAAAGAGAATATTTCCCTTAATCTGGGCTCAAGGTGAACAAAAATTGTGGTTGTACCATTAGTTTGACTGAACTCTGCCACATCATCTTAGAGATGTCAACAGACTAGAATTTAGGTCACCAGGGTTTAGCCTAGTCAATAAATTATTAACTTTTTTTTAACCAAAAATAATCTGCTAATATTTGTACAATCTACATACCTTATTAGCAGCACTGTTCATTTGTTGTTGTGCAACTCGTTTGATTCTTTGCATGTCTACCCCGAGACTTTCCAATTCCTTCTGCATATCCAAGAAGAACTTTTTTATTGTAGACAAGATGGTGCGAATACAGGAATTCAATATCCGTGACAACACACTACTGCAAAGACAATATGATTCAAATCAAATCACATGAATTAACAATGATCATGAAGATTATTATCTCATTTAAAATCTCTCCCCCCATGATTCAAATTTGAAATGGTGACTGCTGATCTATAAGTATAAATTGGGTGATCATAGCAAGTGACATAATGGTTGAAATAGCTCCGCTGTCTATGTAGAGTGTTTAATGAGAATATTCACTGCTTGTCATGGTTATTAGTGTTCTTAGAATGATCTTACCATGGCAATTACAATTGTTATCTTGTTACAAAACTTGTAGAGGTCACCCATGGTCAGAACGTACCAAGTGTCAAAGCAATTGAATAGGTAGTCGAAAATAGCATTTTTTATCAAAAATAACAACAAATATTTGCTTAAAATAGAGAATTGAAGATAATATCACAAAATAAACAAAGTATCAAAGCAACTGAGCAGGTAGTTTTCAAGAAGAAACCCCAAATAACATTTTTTACCAAAAATTACAAAAATGTTTGCCAAAAACAGAGAATTGAAAATATCTTCACAAAATCAGCAAATCTTAAAGAGGTATACCCAAGATACCCACATATTAAGATCAAAGCAATTGAGCAGGTAGTTTCTAGATTCAAAGATGGATGAATTTTTGATGGACAACGATTGACAATCACCTATATGCTCTGCTCTTCTCTGTCACCTTTAATGACAGCAAAGCTAAAAACATTATTGGTATTGTATTATTAGCATTCAACATTGCAAAACTGAATTACTGTATGAGAAAGGTCGGTACACAAACTAACATACAACAAAGTGACCAGTTGTAAAATTCCTACTTGATTTGAAAGTTGGCATACCTGAAAAGTTTATCCCACTCAATAACAATGGATGAATAGACTGGTTCAGATAGATCTTGATTGAAATCAATGGCACCAGCAGTCGGTGAGTTATATACACCGTCACGATTAACTGTCGCTCTGTAGGTTGCAGAATGATAACCACCACGGTTCATCTGAAAAAAAAGAAGATTAATAAATGATACCTGGTGATAAACAACTTGAACTTTCTCACATGAAGACTGATCAAAAGTCATGACAAGACAGTCCCTGTCAAATGGTGTATTTGTGTACATATCTGTACATTGTATGTCTCATGATACGTACATGCAATATCTCTAAATATATTTCAACAGCTCTGTCATACTCTGTACCTTATATTCATTCATTCAGACTTGTATGCAGGCAGGATACAAATTGGATACAGTTCTAACTATTTAGAAACAGCTACGAATAATCATGATACAAATGCTCACGTCTGACAAAAATGTGTGATTTACATGCATTTTCAGCCTTAAATATGGCTGTTATTCGGCCATCTTTAATCAGATCATGATACAAATGCTTGTGTATATGTCATGTGTGAAGGATCCATAACTGCATTTTTTATTACAAAATGGCTGCCATTCGGCCACTTTGAATTTGATCCAAATAATAAAATGATGTTCATCAAGGTGCCTTTGTGTTCAATGCATGCACCTTGTTTAAATCAAATCTATCCACAGACAGTAATCAGCTAACACATATTTACTTACTGGTGCTCCCCACTTCTGTACAATATTACTGGATAAGTTCAGAGCCGCTTTAACACCGTCTTTCAACTTAGGTTTAATGGAATTATCAAATGCGTCCTGTATAGCTGTATTTAGCGAGTCTAACAAAGGGCTCAGCTGAGTCTGTAATTTTTCTAAATGAGCATCAAAGGTTGACTTAGCATTCACACGGGCACTTTTGTTCTGCACAAGAAAAAATAAATACAGGGATGTTATTTTAAGTCATATATATATTTTTTGGGTGGAAACCATAGTTACAGTCAGTCTGTAATAGTGCAAGGATTTGGGTTTAACCACTTGAGTACCGAATTCAACTTTTTGTCACCTTTCACAAAATATAAACAAATCAATCAATTTGATCAAGGCCTGTAGCCCATAGGAAATTATATTTATATCAGTGGAACAGGCGCACACACACACAGACGCACTAACCATAAAGACTCCTATTGTGTGCTTCGCACAAAGAATTAAAAAAATGGCAAAATGTGGCAGAAAAAATATGGCACTCAAAGAGTTAAGATTCAGCATGGCGTGGAGTTTGAATTATTGAATTGACACTCTACAGTAAACAAGTCATGGTTAATGACATAGCTGTATTTGATTGACACAATGTTACGACTGTCAATGATTGTCGGAGAAATGGTTAAAGACAGGCCATTTTGAAATTTTGAATGAAACTGCAAAACAAAATGACATGCATCTGTAATTTACCATGAGTGATGTCAATACAAAGTTTGAAAATCAAAGAAAGCTGAGAAAGAACTCCCATGTGCTGAGAGTATTGGAGACACATTAAATATAATTTGAAATTACTTAGCTGAAAACTAATTATGCAAATCAGAAAATTAACATGAACAGATTTGATTGTAAAACTAATGAGGTCTGCGCAATGTAACAAAAACTCTATGTACCAAGTTTAATTGAAGTGTGATCAGAACCAAAAAATTATGAATTATTATGCTAATTAGGGAAATAATATGAACAGAGTTTTACCCCAAACTAATTAGGTTTGTACATTGTACTAAGTTTCATTAAAATGGAAATTAGTACTTTAGATATCAGTGTGAAAGCTTAAAATTGGTTAATTATGCAAATTAGGTAATTAATATGTACAGATTTTAACCCACAATTATCGAGGTCTGTCTATTGTCCTACAGCATCCATGTATAAACATTCATTGATATGTGATGATTAGTACCTGAGATATCAGTGTGAAAGTTGAAAATTGGTTAATTATGCAAATTAGGTGATTAATATGCACAAATATTTACCCTGAAACTAATCAGGTCTCTGCATAGTCCTAAAGGATCTATGTACCAAGTTTCATTGAAATGCGATGATTAGTACTTGAGATATCAGTAGAAAAGCTGAAAATTAATTATGCAAATTAGGTAATTAATATGCACAATTATTTACCCTGAAACTAATCAGGTCTCTGCATAGTCCTAAAGGATCTATGTACCAAGTTTCATTGAAATGCGATGATTAGTACTTGAGATACCCGTGGAAAAGCTGAAAATTAACTAATTATGCAAATTAGGTGATTAATATGCACAAATATTTATCCGAAACAATCAATCTCTGCATAGTCCTTGAGTATGTAAGTACCAAGTTTCATTGAAATGTAATGCTCACTACTT